CTCCACACGGCTGCTCCAGCACCCAGGGCTGCATCGGGGTAGGTCCATGTGGCTTCTCCTCAGGGATGTCTTGCAGGAAGTGAGCCTTCCCAGCGGAAGCAGGGAACTGGCTAAGGCAGCTGCACCCTGGTTCAACCATCAGAAAGCAAGAGACCTGAGAACTAGAAAGGCGAGGCTCACTGAGCCATTTATCTCTCCACCCTTCAATTAATCCCACATGTGTTTATTGGCCAGGTTGGCACAATAAACCTTAACTATCTCACTCTTTATGGGAGTAGAAAGCCCCATCCTTCCCTCGAGGAGCAGCTGGTGGTTTTGAGCTGTTGCCCTTGAGGATTGTGGGCCCCATGTGTAACTACCACTCCACCAGGTGCTCCAGACTGACAGTCCTGGTGAAAATGCCCAGAGCCCTCCTACTGGAAACTAGGAAGAAAAGACCGGGATGTCTACTCCCATAAAGAGTTACAGTCTCCGTAATCACAGGGGCAGTTTGGCCTTGCCCTGCAAGGTCTCTGAGTCTGGCCCTGCCCTGCAAGGTCTCTGAGTCTGGCCCGGCTCAACAGCAGGGAGGGGGTGAAGCTCTAAAGTTCTGAGACTGTGGCCTCTGGGGCTGTTCAGAAGCCCACCCAGCTGCTGCTCTGCCTCATCTTTCCCAGAAGCCTCTGTGTTCCCTTCTCCTTCCTTCCTCTCCCCACTCATGAGATGAAGCAACGATGCCCCCCTGAAATGCTCCCACCTCCTTCCTCATTACCTGCGGCACTGGCTTTATTAAATGGGTACATTAAAGGTTAGTGGAAACCTGGTTTATGCTGTGTAGCCTAGAGCTGGACTCATCATGTTATGCTTGGTTCTGGAAATATAAAAGCCAAACGTACTCTGTTTAAGGAGATGCAGACCATGAGAAGCCGTGACGTGTTTTCACAGCCAGGTCCATCTTGCGTGGCACGGCTTGCTGGACTTGAATGGCCGACTTTTCCATCAGTTATCAAGTGCACCCAGGGAGCCTACCCCCCCATCCCGGGTTCAAATCCTGCTTGCACTTAGTGTTAGTCTGAGTTGACTAGAGAAACAAATCCAGAGGCACTCATCTGTGTGCAAGAAAGAGCTTCAGATACAAGAGCAATTGAACATTGAGAAAACATCTCAGCCCAGTCCAGATCAAGTGGATGCGTCCGATATTAGCCCATATGTCTGTTACCAATCTGTAAATCCTCTTCAGACTCACGAAACACATGCAACGACACCAAATGCAGGAAGCTCACAGGCCAGTGGGTGGGAAGTCTTGTGGATCCATTGGTGTTGTAAGTATGTCAGCGCTGGCATGAATCTCCGGGTGGCTCCTCCAGCTGCAGGGCTCTAGCATAGCTCCATGTGTCTTGTCATCAGGAATACGAAGTAGAGAGTGCCTTACCTTCAGCGAGCTATTTATCTTTGTAGCACCTCCAAAATGAGGTCATCAAGCTATGGCCTGATTGACAGGCTCAGATCCACGCCTTCACTCTTAGTGGTCTCAAGTTGACACCAGATGATGTAACTACCACACACTTCCTACCATGGACCTCCAGACTCCCGTCCAGGTGCTCCCACAAGTTCCCCCTGCCCACCAATATACACCCGTTCTTCTCGCTGTTGGGCACACCATTTGTTTTTAGCACAGGATTTTGTGGGTTTCTGAAGGTCCTGTCCTCTGCCTCTGGAGCCGCCGTGTCCTACTTGGGGGACTCTGTCCAGGACAAGCAAGGCTGCAAGACACAGCCTACTCATCACTCTTGACTGTCCAAACGCATCTAACTCGATCTGGCTCCAGAATTAGATCACCCCCTGCCCAGGAATGCACTCAGGACTGCCCAACGCATTTAGCCTCATTCACGGCTTCTCCCAACAGCAGCCCTGGCCTGACGGGAATGCAGTTTACTCCGTGGCAAATGGGGTGTCTGCTGGCCCTGCTAAGCAGGGAGCTTGGGGGTCCTCGTGCCGCTGCACCAACAGCAGCAGCATCCAGATGGTGATGGTGATGGGATGCTGCTGTCACGCCACCTCCTGTCCACTGCTTCACGATGAGGTGTTCCGTGGAGGGCTTGGGCTTTATCAGTGTGTGCTTTGCCTGGGACACCGATGTGTCTCTTACGGTTCGAAGGGCCCGCTGGCTTCATTGCTCTCGTCATGACTGCTGTTTGTCCTTGTTTAGGGCCAAGGAGTGAAAAAGAACAGACGGCTGGCGCTGGAGCTGATGAAGAAGGCAGCTGCCAAGGTAACAGGAAGGAACTCTTTTCCACCATGCCCCATACCACGACCCACACATACCTCATGCCCCACAATACCACACCACACACGCCACACCACATACATACCATGCCACACACACCATGCCACACATACCACGCCCCATGCCACACAATACCACACCACACGCATACCACACCACAGACATACCACGCCGCACACATACCATGCCACACATAGCATGCCACATGCCACACACATATCATACCACATGCCATACCACCACACACACTAACAGGGAAGGATTCCTTTCTAACACACACACACACACACACACACACACACAGACTCCTTCCACCACACACAGGCACACGCGTAAGGAAGGACTCCTTTTCACCACACACAGAGACTTCTTTCTACCACACAGATGCACACACACGTAAAAGGGAATGATGCCTTTCTAACACACAGACTCCTTTCCACCACATGTAGGTGCACACACACACACACACACACACACTTAATAGGGAAAGATTTCTTTCTTACACACAGTACACCACGCACACGCAGACATATACACTCACATACCACACCACACACCACACCACACCACCCATATATAATAACAGGGCAGGATTCCTTTCTCTCTCTCTGTCTCTCTCGCTCGCTCGCTCGCTCTCGCTCTGTGGCTCTCTCTGTCTTCCTGCTTTCCACACCACCCCACCCAGAAAGTGCTCTCACATTTGACCCAGTAAATGGCCCGCCCCTTCCCTACCCTGACAGTGGAAACAGGGTGAGGGGCAGGGGCCGCAGGGGCTGATTCCTCCCTTTGAGGTTACACCGGCTCTGAAGCCGCCACAATGGGACGACCCATTTCAAAAGCCGGATTCACCTGCCAGTAAATAGAATTCAGGCTCGTTTTGTTTGAAGGCTGAAATTATCATCACTGGCGGCCCTGATAACAAGCACTGAGGTTCTTTGAAACTGAATGGGCCTCACTCTTTGGAACTAGAAACGCCTCCGAAGGTGAACTCCGTCCCATCCTAAAATGGGTTTCTCTCCTGGTGCCTCTGCAATGGGGCTGTTTATCAAGTGTCTCAAGGCTGATGAATGAATTGTTTTACTTCTCTCGCTTTTCCCTCCTCAGCAGGACCTTCACACCAGCTTGTTTCATTGTAGCGCTGTCGGATTTCATTAGGCGCCTCGGTGGCATAGGGGGCTACTTGTTGGACTGCTAACCTCAAGGTCAGCAGTTCAAAACCACCAGCCGCTCCTCGGGAGTAAGATGAGTTACAGTCTCGGAAGCCCACAGTTCTACCCTGTCCTCTACGGTCACTGAGTCAACGTCGACTCAATAGCATTTCGTTTGGGGTTTGGTTTGGTACCATCTCAGATGAGATGGGATGTGGAGATGCGCGCCGCGCGCGCGCATGCGTGCATCTGGGGGGTGCTGTGAGCCCAAACTGGCTAGACAGCAGCTGATTTGGGGCCTTTTTTAGACTCCGACTTGCCAGACCTCTCAGATGCCCGCTCCTCACCTCCTGTCTCTGGTGCTTTGAGCCTGGCAGGAGGTGAGGAGTGAGTGCCAGGTGTTCACCGGCTGGCTGCTGGGCAATAGACTGTATGGGGGAGGGTCCTCATCCCACAGGCCGGAGGGGTCTGTACCCGAGTAAGGTGGGCACCTATTAGAGCAAGGAGGCTCCCCGCAGGATGTACAAGAAGGCTGTGGAAAGTCCGTGGGGGAAACTCCTGTATCTTTTCTTTGTATTTTTCCACAAACTTTCAAGAGCCCCCTCGCATAGGGGACAAGCCCTTCTGGGGGCCCTGACACAGGTTTGGACATGGTGCTGCCCAGCCTCTGAAGCCACCATCCTGAGTGAGTGAGTGAGTGAGTGAGTGAGTGAGTGAGTGAGTGAGTGCGTGCGTGCGTGCGTGCGTGCGTGAGTGAGTGAGTCAGTCAGTCAGTTAGCCAGCCAGCCACAGATGCAGGGCAGTCCCAGTGACTTCAGGACAGAGCAAGCTACAGATGGGCAAGTGGGTCACCTCGGCTCTGCAGGGCTCGCCAGGGCAGACTCCAGGCCACCTGTCTCTGGCGAGTGCTCACGATGTCAAGGGCAAAGACACTGTGGATGCCGTGGGTGGTGAGGGCCCTGCGGTGCACAAGGACACTGGGAGGTTTGAGGACATGCCTCCCTATGGTTCCAGGCCCACATCCCAGCAGCAGTCACATGCAGCCCCCCTGGGAAAACTCACGTGCCCTCTCAGAGGTCGTCTGCCCCTTCCCCAACCCCCACCCTCCCCCCCAAGGGAAAGAGGGGAGGTTTTGCTCCCTCGCAAGCAGGGGGTCTGGTCACATGCTTCTTGCGGAGTCTCTCTCACGCCCCGCCCCGTTCCCTAACATTAACCTTGACACCTTTCCTTTCTTCTTGTCTTTCTCAAACCGCAGGGGTTGCACCAGGCAGTCAATGGCCTGGGCTGGTACTACCACAAATTCAGGAAAAATTATGCCAAGGCAGCCAAGTACTGGCTACGAGCTGAAGAGATGGGGAACCCCGACGCCTCCTACAACCTCGGGGTCCTGTACTTAGATGGCATTTTTCCAGGCAACCCTGGAAGGAACCAAGTGAGTCGTCTAGAGGGCAGCTCTTAGCTTCCCGAGTGTCCAGCGTCAGTGGGCGGCGGGCCCATCCTGGACGAGGCACCGTGGGTGGAACAGACACATCCCAAGACACAACCCCAACCTTCAAGGACCTCAGAGGGCCGGTTCGGAAGACAAGTCAGGGAAGCACAGGGCGTGAATCAAGCCCCACGTGGGTGGGCAGTGGTGGTACCCAGAGGTCCGCACAGGGGAAGTGACGGAGTCAGGAGGGCTTTGTGGTAGGGGAAGGCTTGAACTGAGGAGTGGGAATGAGGAGGATGAGTGGTGTACATCTGCGTCAGAGGTGCATCTGACAGGAAGCAAAGAGTAAGGGCCAGACGGAGTGGCCTGGTCTGAGCCCATGTGTCAGAATCATCATCAGAGCCACCAGGGCAAGATGTATGTTTATGGAGTGCTTGCTCCCTTTGTGCCAGGAGCCTTGGTGGCAGAGTGGGTTCCGTGTTGGGGTGCTAACCACAAAGTCAACAGTTCAAACCCCCCTGTCCCCCCAAGGGGAAAGGTTGAAACTTTCCACTCCCATAGAGGTAACAGTCTTGGAAACCTTCAGGGGTGGTTCTACCTTCTCCCTAGAGGGTCACCAGGAGTCAGAACGTACTCAGTGGCACAGTTTGAATTTCCCTTTGTGCCAGACTCTCTGCAGAGTACCCTCCTTGCCCACTCTTGGTTCAGCCTGGCCCTCCTCCCTGGGACCCACTGTCATCGTGACCATTCAACAGGGCAAGCCACCGAGGCCAAGAGACTGAGTTACTTCCTCAGTCACACACCTAATAGAGTCTGGACCTGGGCCCAGGTGTGAGATGGAATGCCCTGTCTTTGAGGAGGACGTTGATAACGGCCAGGACAACGTTCAGCAGAATCTGTTGAGTTTATCCAGTGAGTTTGCGGAAGCCGGCCTGTGCCAGGCGCTGCCCGAGCCCCGGGACACGGACACACCAGGCAGCTGCTACTCTTTGGAAGCTGACGTTTCCAGGGCGGGGTGGAGCAAGACAATAAACAAATGAACACAGACTGTAAGGGCATGCGGTGGTGTGTGCTACGGACAAAATAGAACCCGTAAGGAGGACAGAGGGTGGAGAGGGGGCTGCCATCGTATAAAGGACACCCAAGAAGGCCACTCTTCCAGAGTGACCTGGTACAGACCACTGTGGGAAGTGTGGATGCCAATCTTGTGGATATATGGCAGAAGAACATTCCAGAAGGTGGACGGGCTGGAGCTAAGCCTCCCCCACACCAAGATGGAAAGTCTTTACACATCTGAGGAGCAGTGCAGGGGGTGGGGCAGGGGGGCAGAGAGGCAGCAAAGAGGGAGAAGGAGTGGCTGTGGGGGCCGTGAGGGCAGAGGGGCAGCGGGACCAGGTCACATGAGGACTTGGCTTTTGCTCCGAGGGCGGTGGGAAGCCACTCGACTGTTTTGAGCTGGGGAATGATATTGTATCTGATCAGGCTATCCCTGGATTCTCATGGAGACCAGGCTGAAGGGAGGCAAGGCTGGCAGCTGCAGGGGTTAATACCTTGGATCCAAGTGAGAGAGGTGGTGGCCGAGGCCAGGGCACTGCCAGTGGAGAGGCCCAGAGGTAACTGGATTCTGTGCGCGTTTTGACGGCTGAGGTGGCAGGATTGGCTGATGAATGGCATGTGGGAGAGGGGTCAGGGACAACCCCAGGGCGTCTGGCATTTGTGACAAGGAGACAAACTCAGGTGGCACTGGTTGAGGCGGGGGTGGGGGTGGGGGCGCATGGCAGCAGGCGGTTTGGGGCAGTGCTGAACCTCGAGAATGTATCATCCCGTTGAATCTGGAAACCACCTTGCATGCAAGGTTCACTCACCTGCCACCTGTTTCATTTCCGTTTTCTTATTTCCAGCTGAAGACAGCGAGGGGCGAGGTTCAGGGACATTAAGTAGCATGCCCCAAGGTCACCCCCCTGCCAAGGAGCCCACAGCTGGCATTTGAGCCCAAGCCAACCTCGCTCCAAGGCCAGGCTTTTCAAAAGGACCGTGCACTGCCTCCAAAGAGTCACACTCACTGGGGGACAGTGTGTCCACCCGGGGAGAGGGGGGCGGTATTTATTTCCCTTCCATGTCCCTCTCGGATGGCGCAGGGCTGTGATTTTAGGCCTCACACACGTCTGGTAACCCTCCCACGCATCTGCCTGAGAGGATTTTTATTGTCATATTCTAATTCTCACCTTCCTACGGGAAATGGGGTTTCTGTGCATGAGCTTGAAGAAAGGCATTAAGCAAGGTTAGAAAAGCAAGTGCCCGAATTCTCACCCGATGGGACTTCTGATAGGGTCCTGCATCTCCTCCACCGGGGCTTATGAGAGGTCCAGGCAGGGGGCAAGTGGAGTACTTATGTGACGTCGCATTCACTGGGCAAATATAATCAACCAGACAGGGAGACAAAGGCTCCCCATCTCAGAGGCCACCTTCAGAGAAGGGTGCCCCCCAACAAGTGCTGCATGACCTGGGTTTCAAACCAGTTCACTCCAGCCCGAGACCCTGCAAAGAATGTGTTGAGTCTGCTCGCTCCCCAGGGGACGTAGCTTCCTTGAAGCTCTCCCGAGTCCGAAAGCTAGAAGCTGTGGTATTGACGTCTGGCGTGCACCCCCACTGCCCCGGCTCCCACGAAGGCGGCCTCTGAGCGTGACCTTCTGAATCTCTCTTCACAGACACTCGCGGGCGAATATTTCCACAAGGCTGCCCAAGGCGGCCACATGGAAGGGACCTTGTGGTGTTCGCTCTACTACATCACGGGCAACCTGGGGACGTTCCCGAGAGACCCCGAGAAAGCTGTCGTGTAAGAATCTGCCAAATAGGAATTATCTTCTGGCGGGGGAAGGGAGTGGGGGGGGGGTCCTAACCACCCTAGACCTCCTGAGAAGAATGGGCTTCCTCTTTTCTTCGCCTCTTTGCTTGCATCTGGAAAGAGAGGTAGGTTTTCATCCCTGCGAATTGCACACACCCATAGTTGAAAGCGCCAAATCATTGGACAAGAGTCATCGGGAAAAGCAGGCGCTCGCTGTCCACCGGCTGCCCATCCCTCTGTCTGTCCTGTTTCTCTTCCTATTTACCTCTGTCTCTAAACACTGTCCTCTTTTAGAAACATCGTGTTAGCATCTGATTCACCTATGACGCTACTCAGTCCTCCTGCCGCATTTAGAGGAGTCGTGTAGTCACCACTGCGGTCGGTTTAGATCATCTTTTTCTGTGCATGCTTCCTTTTCCCTTCCGCCACGGGTCACACCATTCAGGAGTTCAGTCCCATCGGCCAGAGTTGTAGAACCATCACCCCGGTTCATTTTAGAACATTTTCTTCTTCCTGGTACTCATTGTTCTCTGTGTAATTATAGCGTTTTGATTGTGGCAAAAAGATACACAACAAAACATGTGCTTCTTTCTTGTACTTATTGTTATTAGCTCCCCATTTCCCCTTAACTTCCCCTGCCGTGCCCCCCTCACCCCCAGAAACCAGTAATCTAGTTAGTGTCACTAGAGTGACCTCTCCTGGATTTCGTATTTAGAGAAGCATACTGAAACAAGCAACAACAGCAATAACAAAGTCAAACACTATTCTCTCGATGACTGTTTTTAGGTTTTTTTCAGCATCCCCCAAACTCATCACTATGGATTCATGTTACAGAATCGGAAGAACTGAGCCCCGTGGTGTTTTTTTGTTTGTTCGTTTTTTGGCTGGACTCAACGGTGAAAGGAACCTTGATCAAGCACCTGGCTGCCCGCCACAAGGTTGTCAGTTCAAACCCACCCAGAGAAAAGGCCGGGAGATCCGCTCCCATAGAGCGAACAGTCTAAAGAGCCAGCCTTTGTCCCATGTAGCCTCGGAGTCAAAATCCACAGCTCCTGGCAACCGTCTTTCCAAAAGCAGAGTCAAGCCTTTCTGCGGCCGTCCTGTTGGGTGGGTCCGATCCACCGCCCTTGATGGGCAGTTGACCTCAAACCGCTTACACCCCCTCCCCTGAAGAGTGCTGGCTAGTGCTGTCCCACTGTGGAAGATATACATGGGGGCTTCAGAAAGTTGGTGGGAAAATGGGATGAAAAGATAATGGAAATTTCCCACCAACTCGTTGACACTCCCCCCTAGAGTCTTCCTTCACTTTGCTACCTCCTGTGACCACGCACATCCATGCGTGCCTCCGCATCACTCGTTTTCCAAACAAGTGTGTCCTCTCTTTGGTTCCATGAGTATGAGAGTTATTACAGCTCTTTCCCGCTAAACCTCAGAGTGTGCCGTGGCTTCTTTGTCAATCTGGTGCCACTGTGCCAGTCTCCCCCCAGCACCGTCAGACCCATCACATGCGTTAGGAGGCCTCTCTCCCAGTCTGTCTTGGTCCAGGACAGAGCTGATGGGCTGGGACTAACTTCAGCGCCAATCCTGGGAATCTTCTCCCTTCAACTCTGACTTGAGTTGGTTCTGCTCCAGGCTCAACCCATTTCCTGCTGGTTCCGATTGACCCTCCACGTTGGTAGCTTTCCTTGTGTAGTAGCGTCCTGAGCCCGGCGGCCAGAAGGCTCATTTGTGAGGCCCTTCCGTTCTGAGTCTGCCTTACAGAGAGTGTGACCAGCTACGGCCCAGAGACCAAATGTGACCTTTTCTGTATGACTCCAGACACAAAGAATGGGTTTTTACAATTTTGACCAAAAGCCGAACCACTTATCATGGAGCTGATTTGGATTCATGGGTCAGAAAGAGCCATGCCCCATTGGGTTTTCAATCGCTGATGTTTTTGAAGCCCATCAGTAGGAGGTTTTTCTTCCCTTGTACCCTTTGGGTAGATTTGAACTTCCAATCTTTGGGTGAGCTGTTGAGAGCAGGAGCCATTTGCACTACCCAGGGACTCTGCATTTTTAAAAGGTTTTAGAACAAGCAAGCAAACAAACAAATGTAATATATAACGGTGGCCCCTAGGGCTTAAAATATTGACTATCTTGCCCATCAGAAAAGAGGAGCCGCAGACCTCTGCTTTAGGTCACCTGAATGCTGCTTGCCTGCCTCTCAAAAAGTAGTTTTTCATAACACATTTGGAAGCAATATGATCCGGGAAAAGTTTTCAATTAGCACAAATCGTGCCTCGGGTAGACCTCTTTGGCCACAGTACAGCCACTGCACAAAGATTAGAAGCCACATGATCTTGATGCAGTGGCAAAACCCAAACCAACTTGAGGGTTTTTATCCTGGAACAGAATGCTTGATGTGAATATTACTGTCCCCAGACTTTCTTATGATTTTTTGCTAAGGATTTCTAACCTAATTCCATTATGAGTAGAAAACATTCCGAATGACTTCAGTCCTTTGACATTTGTGGACGTGTGTTCAAATCTCCCACTGCTTAAGACGGTCTTAGTTTCTTCATTGGGGCGTCTACACTTAATGTAATTCCAGGTAGTTTTTTAAATCATTGTATTGGGTGCTCAGTAGACTTGCTTTTAAAGACATCGCTGTAGTCTTTATTTTCCGTTCATCTCATCTGTTCTTTGTTCCTTCTCTCTCTCTCTCACTTTTCTTTTCTATTAAATATTTTTTAAAATCATTCTAGCTCTCCTTTTCATTGGCCCATGCGTCGTGCATGGTGACACTGTTGTTGTAGTGCTGATCCATCTGCAGATGATCACAGACACGTTCATTATGAGGAAACACCTCTAGGGTACATTAGGGACAGCAACCAAATAGATGAGACTTTATAATACCGCAGTGAGCATGGTTTCATGTGCAGAGTATTCGAATTCATAGAAAGAATATGTATTTATTTTCTTGTTGGTGTGGAAGCATCTCACGGTGTACCTCACACACTCTTCGTTTCCAGAAGTAGCAACGCCAAGCATTCATAAGAAAGGGCACGGAGTATAAAGCTCTCAGAATCCATCCTGCTTCACCTCCTTAGCATTCCATTCTAATTTGTAGCTCGATAAAAATTCCAACAAGCAAAATATTCCCCTAGTGGGATTTCTTGAGATCATATGAAGAAAAAGGCAGTTGTTTAATTTGGGTATTTTCTTTCCCTCTTCCTTTTCAGATGGGCAAAGCACGTAGCTGAGAAAAATGGCTACTTGGGCCATGTCATCCGCAGAGGCCTCAATGCCTACCTGGAGGGCTCGTGGTAAGCTCGGGACCCGCGTGGGCACCAACGTTCCTCCACCCTTATCTTCCCATCTGTCGCTGTTCTCTTAGGAGCCAGTGGCAAAAACCAAACAGAGCGCTTTGCAGGGAAATCACGCCTTCCCAGTAATGATATTCAGAGTATCGGGCTGATTTGCAGTTGATTGGAAAACACAGCATCGCCGTGTTTAATGACACACAAGAATTAGTTCTCTGGAGGTGTGGAGGGGAGCAGTCACACTCATCATGTTGAGTGGCACATATTCAAAGACGATGACATGTCTTTCTTATGAGCTTGTCCCCCTTAGTTTTGGAGTCTGGGGACACCAGAGAGGATAGATATTAGCAGAGATCCCCAGGCCAGGCCACAGAAAGTCCAGGGTGCCTACCTTTTTATTAGAAGAAAGAGACACAGACTCGTGTGCTTAGGGATAAGACTGCCTCCATCCACAGACATCTTACTACATTCTCCATGTCCGGAAATACTGACTCCCCAAGCCTCAAACAGACCTCACTCCTGACCACTCCTGCTGATGGCATAAGTAAGGCCCTCCTCCCTGCATGGCAGGGTGAGACTCCGGCCCTACAAGTGGCCTCAATTCCCTACCACTCCCCTATTCCACCAGTAAGGGCCACCTCGTTGAGCTCTGCTTGGCTTCTTTCTTCAGTTTTCTCTGGGGCCACATTTTCTTGACTGGTTGCCGGCCTCGGTGATCTGGGTATTTCAGTCTTAATCAAGAAGGGCATGCAAATCAGCACGGATCCCACCGGTCCACTGCCTCAAAGACATTAGACCAGACACAGTGTGATAAGAACTTCAATTAAACCTTAAGACACAGACGTCCCGAAAAAGGCCATTTCTCCCCAGGGACACAGGTAACCAACAGATAGCATCGGCGTGTGCAAAAATCAGCACATGGGAAACGACGCCAATGGAAAGACACCCCATAGCAATGTTGCTGACTGTTTTAGCATAAGCTCGCCTTAAGTGCTAGCTGTAACTATCTCATGACCAGCCAGGGTTGTGCGCGCCCCCCTTCCCATGCCCCATGCCCATGCCCCAGCGTCCCAGGTTGATCTCTGCATTGTGCCAAAGACTTACATATTCAGACATTTGCCATTGCAACAAGAAATGCTTGTAGTTGGTCTCCTCCGTGAGGAACGTGTGTTACGGGGGCCCGTTTTGCACGGCAAGAAGAGGAAATTGTGTAAAGGGCTCTTTCCCCATCGCCCTGCTTTCCTATGTCTGTGGCGCTTTATCTAGCTTCTCTTTTGAGCTTTCGTTCACAGAACTTCCCCGGTGTGATCTTAAATCCTTCTCCACATCGCTCTCCAGATCATAGGCTCTCAAGTATTTTGGCCTACCTCTCCCTTTGCAGGAAAAAAAAAATTAAAGGAAATAAAAATGTTTCACTCTGCTCTTATAGTACAAAGTTGTACTCCGTACACTTCAAAATGCAGGTGTCTGCGTTTGCACCCCTGGGGTTCTAGGGTTGCTGTGGGTCAGCACGCACTTGAGGGCAGTGTGTTGTAGGGTTAGATGGTTCTGCCGCCCCGCCCCTCTGCCTCCCAGCCAGGCAACGGGATTGCCCACTTTGGGAAACATTGCACCAGATCTACTGCCACCTTTGTTTC